TTGGATTCAAACATCATATTTCACAGAATTTTGTGAATTCGACATGTTACCAAATGCTTGATGTCATAATCTCCTAAACATGTAAACAGGAATGCGAATGAAATATTCCAAGTTGGTTGCCTTTGATTTCCCAAAACCTTAAACCTGGGAATACGAGAAAAAGAGCAGCTTTTTCTGCTCCTCTGTCTCCTCTTTCGTTTCTTATTCAGACCAAATTGAATTGAATTGATCGGATGAATGATTTGACCTGGGAGAAGAATGATCAGGGGAAATATTGATTGGGGGCACCTAGCTTAATTTCTTCCTTTTTAAATGACACACACAACTCTTCTTTTTACATTGATCTTTAACATTTATTGTCTTTTTTTTTTACTTCTGGAAAAGAAACACTAAAGATAAACAATGATTTTTCTCCCCATAAGTCAAAGTTGCACAAAGAAACATTAAAATATTTCATTTGGACTTCATAAGTTATATTTGTCTTATACAAAATGTACATTTCACATTCACAAACAAGAAAGGTTGAGGTTAGCACAATGGTCACTTTAAATGGTTCCCCACTGGGCTTTAACTTCTCATTTACTACAGAAAAAAACCTCCAAGTTCTTCTCATTTTACGATAATGTAATCTAAGGTAGAAAAAAAAATCAGTGGGTAAACTTTAACAACATAGCAACTTGAAAAAGGGGAATTCTACAGTCGGGCAGAAAGGACAAAGTAAAATTTATGTCTGATTTTGAAGCACACACTAATCCACTACTATTTATGGACAAATGTAATGGAACTATAATAAACCATCACAAAGGACCCGTCATCCTTATCAACCACTCTTTTAACAGCATTTCCAGTTTAACTACACAATAGTTGAACCTGAGTCGATGTGCAGCAGTTGAGTGGCACAGTAGGATGAGAAAAATAAATTATATCTTCATTGTCTGACATTCATCTAAGATTAAAAAGGCGTAATGACGGGTAGAAGGATGAACATTCAACACATAGTCTGGTTCCCCCATTTATGCTTTGTCTTAACACGGGTACAGTTCAAAAACATTCAGTTACAGTCTGGCTATTTCAATTTGTGTCGACCTGGAGCCCATGTTAAGACAAAGCTAATGTGGCGGCGGGTCAGTTTTGACTTGAACAAGTAAATTAAAGCAAAAAGAAAAATGAATAAATTGTTATATAGCAAACAAGTTGGAAAACTCAGCAACTCAGAAGCTACAAGAAGCACATAACTGATATTTAAAATATTTCTCTTCATGGAATGTATAAGAGGAAAAGTGCACCATATGAATTTCAGGTAATTGGAAAGGACTGCTGCTTGTAAGAGGAATGTAGTAATGTAATAATTGTCGACTGCAAAAAAAGCTAAAGATGATAAATAGCCCATGCAATGCAATGGCACATGTCAAGAGACTCAAAAGAACAGTTCGACATTTTGGGGCAAGCACTTTGTTGCTGAGAGTTAGCGGAGAAGACTTAGCTTAGCATTAAGCCTGGAAATGGTGGAAAAGTTTGTCCAGTCTTTATACTATGCTACGCTAAGATAATTAGCTGCCAGCTGTGGCTTCATGCGACCACGCAGACCTAAGTAGAATCAATCTTACAGGTGTACAAGTGTATTTCTCAAAAATTCAAACTACTCCTTTAACAATGGCTTCCTCATCCTAGCACTGCACAATTTTTGAAATGAACGTCTTTGGATTCAGTCAATCACCTGGACTCCCTGTTTTTATACAAGGAGACGTACGCTGCCTTCAAATGGGGTCGTGTTTACAAGCAAGGATATTTTTCATATTCCCAATGGCCTCATCTTTTCATAATTAGAATCCATGTCACCATTTCCTTACAGTGGTGGTTACATCATAGGAACACAGCATTTAGGAAATGGACCTGCAAACCATACACACGATTTCACACATCATAACCAAAAGCTCAAGATTTCCATTTGAAGGCAGCAATGAATTCCCACTTTACACTCGAGCCTAAAGTGCTACTCCAAAACTCGACACATCAATTTTACAGTTAAAAAAAATCATAAAAGATAAGCAATTATTTTTTCAGTCAAGGTCTTAATCGTACCGTTGTGGTTTGTTTATGCTGTCAATCTTTTTTTTTTTTTAACTCAGTTCTGTAAGAAACTTCGGCAAAACTTGTTATCGATCCTCTGCAGTGTAAGTTTCTCCTTCCCCAGACAACTCCTCGTGTCCTGCTTCTTATTCGGTGAGTCTGGCTGAGCACAGCAGCCTCCATGAATACAGAATAATAATAAAGGGAAGGGGCAAATGCTCATATTTGCACGTCAGTTTCTGAGGCCAAGACCGTTACAAAACTGAACAAATTGAATTCTTGATGCTTTTCTTAATGAAATGCAGTTAACAAGATGAAAAAAAGTTTTTAAAAAATTAAACATTATTTGGTTCCCTGTCTGGCCATTAGGGTTTCTGTTTCATTTCATTATCTTCCTTTACAATAAATCACATCAAGCTATTATGCTAAATGTCTGGGATGCTAATATTCCAAAAGGATCGAACAACCTAATAAATATATGCATGGTTACGGCACATTAACAAACAAATAACATTACCACTAACTCTTGGATACGGTACAGAAATGTAAATTCAGTCCATATAAAACAAACTGCAGCGTAAACCATTGCACCGTCGCTCATGTTCCCAGGCCTACAATATATCACTGCATGCACTGACACACAATAAATCACTACATCCAAACACAAAACGTCATTGCTCCCAAACCTGTTCCTCTAAAGACAAACGCGATCTGTATCTGACTCTAAAGCTTCTGAAACATGCAGAACATGTTGAAGCAACAGGACGATTCTGTCTTTGTCTCTGTGGAACTTTGATTCTGCTTGATTTCAATTGCGTTTCATGATTTTCAATATTTGCCTCTTCATCATTACATGTATCATGGCTCCTACGATGAGTAATGTGGATCGGCCTAAAGTGCTACTACACTGCTGGGCAAATCATTTAATCTAAAGTTTAATCTTTCACTGTTTAGGAATTTTATCTTGCTTAGAGGCTCAATTGGTAAAGTTAGTATTAATAGTATTAAATCTTGTTCCCTGCGTTCAATTAGAAATAAATTTGAGATATTTGCTGGGAGTTCGGTAACTATCCACATTAATCAACATCAGATTAAATGACTTGGAACAGTGAACATTTTCATTCTGAGTGATCAGTTTTCATATCAAACTTCATCAACCAGATCAAACTATGTCGTTCTCCTGTCTGATTATCATAGGTTCAGATCCTCTAGTGAGTTTTTATATTCCATCAAGAAGGCAGATTCCTCATCAGTCTTGCTACTATAAGCTGGACACCTTCAAGTCTTCATCTTCTTTCTTCTTCTGCTGCAATCACACGTTCAGTGGTTCTTCAGCAAAATGATCCTTCGTGGCCACACTGTGGCGAAACTGCACCTGACCTGTCAGCTCCGTCCAGTCAGGAGCTGTAGGAGGTATTCTTTTTATAATAAACAAGTTTGACTGTGCAGTATAAGGAAAGAGGGGAGTCAAATAGAGGGTAGAAAGAGGAGAAGTTGATTCACCTATTTTCTATTTCACATCTCTGCAGAAGTTCAGGGACAGTCACCTCAGCCATCTTACGGAACTGCTTTTACTCACTACAATCCTTGATCTCAAATTATGAGTTAATCCTCTGACACTAAACACATCACCTGAAAAAGTAGTGTAGACTACTTCCTCTGATCCGCCCAATTGGTGGCTTGCTGAGAAATCAAGCACCAACAAATCTACAGGTCGCATCTGAATTTGGTCTAAGGAGGAAAATAAAAGTGCAAACGGCACAGCGGAAACTGAAAGGGGATTATCAGTTCAGTTCTGAGTTGGTTTAGGAGCCTATAAGCCCTTCAGGGTCCTTGAATGGCAGCATCTCTGTCGGACTCCTCAGGGCTGACGATTGCCGTATGTGAGCGGTATGATGAAGACCGAGATATCGTCTCCGGAGCCCAGGCGCTCGTTGGTGATCCTCCAGCCTCTGTCCCTCAGCACGCCACGGGCTCGCATCACCAGGTCCTGTGCAGCCATCGTGTACCTGGACAACAGCAGGAACGATTAACAAAGCCTTCAGTCCCTTAATACTGCAATATGACTACCTGATATGAAACCGAGGCTTATTTTAAGCTCTCTGTCTGAGCACCCTCTGGTAATCTAGTCAGTGATGGTGGTCTGTGATGTAGTAGGAATACTAGACTTCAAATAATGAGAGGGTACTTGACTCTCAAAAATATTTGAGTTCAATAGTTCAATGATACTGAGAGCAAGTGGTAATAGGCCAAGGAAGGTGGTAATTTATCTTTGAAATAGAAACTGAGCCCGTTGAATAAATCCTGCGACACAGCTTTCACATACAGGCAATTTTATCTGAGTAAAAAAACTCTCAGTGGAGAAAAAAGCGAGGAGAAAGAGAAGGAAACAAAGTGTCCCACCTGTGCAGGTCATCAGGGTCACAGTTGGCTAGAAAAGTCGTAACTGCCTCAGCTACTTCCTGGTTGGAGAGGACGTCCCAGAGCCCGTCTGTTCCCATTACCAGCACATCATCAGCCCCGTGCTCATACTGGGTCAGGTTATACACTTTCACCTGCACGATAACCACAAAACATTAATGCTTTCATATAAAAAGAATACTCATTAATACTCATCTTAATAGAATGTAGATAAAAGCAGCAACAATAGAATGAATCATGTAATTTGCCTCCTTGTTGTTACTGGTTTTACTTTGATGCTCCATCAACCACTGAAATGTTTCCCCGTTTATCTTTAATGACTAATAAACAAAACTAAGAGTCCCTGGCCATATGCTAACAGCTCTGTGAGGCTGGTACCTGGCACAGTGGGGCTTTGACTAACATACCAACATGCCAATTACCTCAAAGTGAAATATTTTTTACTGTACTAAAATCTGTGCTGACCGAGCATCTACACAATCTGATTAACTAAACGCAGTCTCCATTCACTCAGAGCTTTTTCAAAACTTTGACGAGACGTGAGCATTGTGTTTGTGTGAGACAGGGAGGCGAACATGGAAAGTGTTGAGAGGCGTTAAGTCTTTCGTGTGAACCTGGCATGAACCCGGGCATTAATGAATTAAAGATTAAGAGGAGAGCTCTGGGAGGAAAAGTGCAAAACTCTGCAAGTCGAACTACATCGAAAGATGAAAGCGCTTTGAAGCCAGACAGTCAGACAGGTGAGCTTGAGTTCTCCTGAGGCAGAGGACCTTGTTCAGACAGAGGCAGCAAAATGCTTCTTGTGGTGCAGATATGACAGGGTTAGAAACACTCATGTGGCAGAAGTCAGACAAGGTAAGGAGTTGGGGCTGGAAAGATAAGATGGAGGAAAGACGAAGGGATTCTGTAATAATTGTACCAGCTGCGGGAAACAGCCCAAGTCTGAGGGTTAGCAGGTTTAAGGAAATAGATGCCAACAGGTTTACCCACAAGTCCTTGTGTTTGGATAGCGTAGCATTAGAAAATGAACGTAGGCCACGTGCAGTTGAAGCGGATATAATGCATTTGTCAATGTGTTCTTGACTGCCTGAGCCACAGCTACATTTACAGCGGCATAACGAGACATTAAAGACTGCTCATGAGCACAATGTCACTTTATCCTAAATGGCCTAAATACAAAAAAGGGAGAAGGATAAAAGGAAATAACTTATAAATATTGCATCTTGAAATCTTGAAGTCTTGAATTCTTAAAGCAGGAGTTTGGTGTTTTAGGATGAACATGAGAATGCTATCAATCTACCAATCTGAGCCAATTTTCCAGAATGTAAAATGATTTCTTTGACACTCAATCAGCCAACACGTAAAAAGTTCTGAATATGTATACATGTAAAGTAAACTGGAGAGTAAAGACTCGCCTTCACATTGTTTGTCTTTTATTCTTTTTATCTGCAGTATGTGAATGTGAGTCAGCAGGTTATTTGCTGCAGCGCTGTGGCTCTTACCTCGGGGCAGCAGGACAGAAACGGCTTGATGTAGATGTTGGAGTCGTGAACTTTGAGGTCGTGGTCACCGAGCCCACGGGTCACACCGATAGTGGCCAACACCCGAGCCTGTAAAGTAGAGTTTTCATCTTAACAAAGCATATTTATCAGAGGTCGGAAATAAATTGTAATATTGACCCTACTTCTCACTGGATTAATAATGTCAGCAAATATTTTCCGAATAAGTTTATAGCCCCAATTATTAGTTTTAAGTCTTATTCAAAACAGCATGGTGTTCATTTAGTAAACTATGTTTCCATTTAGAGTAAAATAGACGATAGAGCACGGTATGAATCCACACACCCCTGCTCCTCAAAATACGGTGCCAAGATGGCGCCAAACTTAAGGCTTCAAAACTTCAGTTTACAAACCAATGGGTGACGTCATGGTGTCTACAAGGACTATAAGCTCTCCCACCCACTCATGTAGGTGGTACAGCTGGAAACAATAGCTGACTGCAGTGTGTTGAAATATAGATTTGCATTTTAGGGCAGATTTAATTTCCTGGTGTATAGTTTTTTAATTGAGTGGGTAAATATAGATGCCTAGATGTCAATTTGCTGCTGGTTGAGTTTGACAAGAAGGAAAATCTAACATCTGTTGAATAACATCAGGAGTAAATTAAGTAAAATCAGAATCAGACAGCTTCTGCTGTTTTCAATTAGTGCTGGATGTGTATTGTATCCACCAGCAGGATCCCAAACAGGCTGATCTCTCATTTAGTTTATTTTCCTCCATTGCATAACTGATTAACACTACACTCTGCACTAAAGGTGGCTTGGTTGTATGTCTGTCAGTCAGGCAACAGATATGTGACGTTGTTAGAAATGTTAAGTATCCAGAGGTTACTGAGACCCAACAATGTCACTGTTCTGTTCCTCTAATTATCAACGTCTTTTTCAGTCTTCTTCCACCCTTTCATTCCTGTGTGGATTTAAAAGGTTCCTCTCGTTCTGATGAAGACTTGTTATTTGTCTCTTTGCATCAAACTGAGCTGTTTGAACATATGAAACAAACCGACATGACTTGGAGCTTTTTGTGTAATTTGTTTTTGTGTTTTTTTTCTGTATCAATCTCTTCCTCTCATTTATCCCAATGAGGCACCAGCGGGAATTAACTTCACGTCTCGAAAAGACGACATCACCATCCCCTGGGTAGTGTGTGTATTAGACATGGCTACTGGAGTGAAACCGATGGACCGACTCTCTCTAGTGACGGTGTGCACTGACACACACACTTACACATCAGTTCACCCACTCTCTGGATAGCTGGCAGGCATGTAGTGTTTGTGTGAGTGTATCAGACTGACAACATTAGATCTGATGATTTAGTTTTTCCTCTACACCTCTGAATGCCTGGCATGGAGTGGACACACACGTGCACACACACACTTACCTTTTTCCCTTCACCATATATTAGTGGGAACTTGAGGTCTTCATCCTCAATGGTCTTGTAAGCCCTGTGTTTAAAGATAGGAAAGATGAGTCTTACACTCAAATGCACTCTTAGAAAAAGAGGAACACAGAGAGCAAATGCAAATGCTTTTCTTGTGTCACCCTGGCTATGGTGGCCATTTTGGATCTCCAGGGGATCAAAGTCAGCACTTTCTATTCCTCTATCACCCGACCTAATGTAATACAACTGCCACCAGTCTGACTCCTGGGCCATTTAGTCTCTTACTTCATCTTATTTCTGTCTCTTACTTCATCTCAAAACACAATTATCATCATTCATGCAATTTATCTTTTGATGAGAAAACTGAATCAAAGCACTGGTCAATACTTTTCTTTCTTTTTTAAATAAATCAAATGACCACATGCGTAATGTGAAGAGTGACTAACCAGCTTTCAGTACAATGTTTTAGATTCATTAAACATGGCTTTACTGTTCACAACCTGCCCAACACCAAACAGCCAACAGACAACGTTATTGGGCAGCTCGCTGACAAACTGGAGTCTAATCAGCAACATAGCTTCATATTCCTCTGTGGAGTTGGTGGGAACCAAAACCGGAGCTAAAAGAAGATTAAATATTGTACTAACATTTGTTGTTTGGTTGTTTCATGGTTAGTATAGGTGTGAATAAGTAAACAACACCTACTATGTTGGACAAACTTGATGTATTGTCAAAATGTCAATGTTGTAGTTACAGCTCGTACTGCTTCCCCCAAGTACCAATAAAACAAGTATGTTGCTTTAAGACCATGTCCTTCTGTAAAGGCGTCAGATTCTTTGTTCTGTCTCCCATTGTTAAAGTTTAGTTTTGAAACTTCATTAAACTGGGGGAGTACATTATTAAAAAGAAATGAGTGCAGCAGGAGCTAAGATACTGACTTATAATCCTTGTATGGTGCTCAGCTCCAAAAATGCACTTCCCAAAATGCAACTTGACAGCATCTCTTTGTAAGAACCTCCCCATCTGGTAGCAGCCCACATCTCTCAAAGTCCACACCACCTCCTCTTGAATAAATAATAATGGAGGATTATTAATACACTTAAAAGTGGGAAACAAAGCATCTGCCAGTTTTCTTGCAGATCTCCAACACTTTGATTTTGCCCCAAGTCTCAGTGAAAGAGTCTGAAGTGCAATAACAAGTGTTTTGCTGCTGAAACATTTAGAGAGAAAGCGGGGGGAGGGGGGGTCGTTCTATGCACAAGCAGACAACAAAAATGAAGTTGAGAGGTGCACAAATGGAAGCAGAGGATCTGAAAAAACTCTTTGAAATGGAGCTTTGATGTCAGAGTGACAAGACTCCATGGTTGACGCTGATGTACTTAAACCAGCCCAATTAGACTTGGCGTCACCAGTCAGCGGAGAATACTTCAAACAGCTTCATATCGGACCGGGGTTTGATCCCTTCGTCAGGCTGCGTCTCTCACCGCTTATTTGTCTGTCTCAAAAACGAGATGTGTACTTTTCACGCACAAACACAAGTCAGTCTTTCTTGTTGCCTTTGTGCTGGAGAGGTAGAAATACGACGTCTTCATCCATCAGCCGCCCTCCCATCTTGGCTCGTCAAATGTTACATCTCTCATAAAAGAGAGACGGCGATGAGTCACACGCTGCACTAATTTATCTTCCCAGTGTCAAATCTGGAAGGAGAGGAGGCTGCGGAACGTCAATACTCATTTACGGAATTGCACAGTTTACATTTTCGAGTTATTTACTGTTTTCACCTTCTAAAATGTGAGGTTTCAATGCTTTATATTTAAACATCTTAAGGGTTGAGAACTGTTGGTGAGACAGAACAAACGCATCACATGACTGTGGGCTGAGGAGAAATACTGATGAGCACTTCAGCCCTTGAGAAGCTCCAGACGAACACTGTCATGCTCAAGGGCACCTAAACAGTTGCTGCTTCTTGTAAACAAGCCACGGTGGCCACAGGCACAGTCATTACAAATCTCTCGAAATGATTCTCCAGCTGCCTCAGCCTGTGACCCGGGTTAACCTTCGAGCCGAGGGGATTTGAGAATGAGACATTAAAGGACAGCTGACATCGCTACTTTTTCGATGTCAAGAACCAAAAGCTGAGACTGATTGCCTGTTCAGACTCTTGTTTACTTATTCAAGTATCTTATTTATGCATGTGTAGTATCTTGTACAGCAGCTTCTCTCTGGCCAATAATTAACATTTGCCAAATGTTCCTTGATAACGCAAAAGATTTAATGTAGAATTTGATCCTTCTGAGTCACTTAGTATTATCAGTTGTAATCTGGATGGTAAAATATGGAACACATCTGTGTTTACGCATCTTTTCTCACGTGACGTCTTTCCAGCAAACCATGCAGGTTGTAATGAACATGAATACATCTGCATTTACGTATCTCTCTCCAAGCTAAGCTGTTGGTACGACGTTCCCTCACAATTTAGTGTGGAGCAAAAACTGAGCTAAAAGAAAAGTAAAAAAACTGATGGGTGAGGTGGAAACAAACAAAACTCCAAATGACTGTGTTAATTCTGGTATATGTAGTAATGTCAAACATAGACAAAATGTAAAAAAGACACCCAACTGCCTCCTTACATCGATGCTAAGAGAACTGTAAGAGTAGTCCTCACAGTGGCACAGAGGCTGGCTCTGGAGGGGGCGGCCCAATTGTGAAATATACATCACACACCATGGTACACACACAGAACACTATGTGCCTCAGTGTGTCAGCGAGCGAGAGCGAGTGTCAGTAAAAAAACATCTCATTACTGGCTTCCACTGCAGCCACAATTAAACAGCATGGTGCCAGTCTCAGCCACGTAACGCTGCACATACAGGACCATGTCTGCTGCAGTATCATTATATCGAATCAGGTTATAGCCTGCTCCCTTGTTACATCTCTTCAGCTCTCACTGTGCCGAAGAGTCGAAGCAGCAGTAGAGGAGAAGCTCCCAGCGTGATAAACAAATGAGTATTGTCTCATTTAAAGGTGGATGCAGCTGGGTTGCAATCCCAGAAAATGAGCTTTCGTTTCACATCCTAATTTGAGATAATTCGTGGTGAGTCAGGCTGTTCTCTGATGAAGTGGTCTGCCATTTTTAAGTGCTCAGTGAGAATAGTGTGTAAAAGGAGAGAAAATTAGAGAGGCACAGGGAGACTGAGGGGACTCACCACCCGTTCATGGTGAAGTCTCGGTAGAGCATCCTCTTGCCCACCTCCTTCCTCTGAACTCTCCGGGGAAATTCCAGGTGCGTGAACTCATTTCCTAACAGGTGAGGCTGCATGAAGCCCTGGAGAATAACACAAGGATGGACTTGGAGTCGATCACGCGGAAAAACGACTTTCATTTTATCTGCTTATCTTCTGCACATTTAGCCATCGCTGAGTTTTTCTTGGCCTTTGTCGCTTCACTCTAGAGCCTGACACATACTAGAATAGTGATATCAGAGAAATACATATGTACATGTATGTTCAGGCTAGTAGTCTGTATATAAAGATGGACGACATGATGGCTCCCCAAAGTAAAGCCTCCTGGTGGTTGGCTGCAGAATAGGTCATAAAACCAGCATTTTCGTGCACGGAGGAGACAGATGGCTTCTGTCAATTTAGGTAGTTCTATCACACTGATGAATTGTCACTTTTCCAGTTTGGTTTTAATCATGCTATAAAAACAGCGTGAAACGTCATGATTGATCGTGAGTGGTCAAGCGAGTCCTTCGCAGCTCCATTCTCTGGATCACTACTGCTCAGACCCCTTGCTTCTTAGCACAAGATGGCAGTGTCTGGGATATTGGAATAAGTGGAGCTGCATTGTCCATTTTTTTATTCACTCTATGGTCAGGCTCTATTTCACTCTTACTCAGTAGTGGAAGAAATGCTCAGATCTTTTACGTGTGTAAAAGGGCCAGAGTTTAAAAACACTCCATTACAAGTCAAAGTCATGTATGGAGCTGTGTTAGACATAGACATATGTTTTTCTTACCAGGAACTGGAGACGCTGTCGCTCTGATTCTGGTGTGAACTCTGTTGACAGGGGAACGATCTCATTGTTTCTTATAATGATAGCCCTGCAGACAGATGCAGAGAGTGGGGAAAGTCATGTACATGCAACCTTACATTAAAAAACAAGCAGCTGTTTACTGGGACCCCTCTCTCTGCCCCAGCATGCAGATGCGCTGCCATTATATGTTCCCCGGGGTCCTGAGGGTCTACCTGCAGTGTTATTAACCCAGCGCTGTTCACAGAGCCTCTTATTTATGAGCACAAGAGCACACACCTACTGTCACCTGCATTCCCCACGTATAGTTTTCCTAGCAGGTAAACCACAGTGAGAGCCGTGCATCCTCCTGTGATGTTGTAATCCTGTTTCTCCCTCTCGATCTGGGCATCCTGGGAAATAAAAGAGACAGAGATGAGTTTTTCAGTCCCGGTTCCACAGGGTACAGCTAGAATGCTGAGTGCTGCTTCACACTGCCATCTAGTGGTGATACTCAGGGGTCCAACACCTTCATCAGCATCAAATTTAAGGATGTAAGTTGATCAAAACAGAATAATTTACAAGTTTAAAGCAGAGAGATGGCAGGACACCAGTAAATTTACTAACATTAAGTAAAAAAATACATCAAAAGAACTTATTTGACTTTATATTTTTGCATAAAATATTAAAATTCAAGCCCTTTCAATGACCCATGTGTAAATATGTCTATTTTAAAAAACTGTCAATAGCTCTTACTTTAAAAGATTTCAAAGACTCCCGAGTGCTTGCAGACACTTTGGTTTATAAAGATGGAAAAGGAAATGCACTGAATCATATAAAAGACTGTTCTGTTTTGGAGCATCAATGTAGCCATTTCTTCTTATTGCATTTGATTTAAAAGCAAAAGATTTAAGACATTAAGCGATATGCTGCCTTTGAACTAGACAGAGCATCAGGAATCCACAGTGTGATGTGCAAGGCTGAGTGGCATTTCGCCAGGAGGCATCATTTTATAAGCTGCCTCTCTGAAGCCAGATACCAATTTGTCAAAAATAAACCGTGAACAGAGAAGCTAAAGGTTGTGGTTTGTGTGCGTCTCTGCAAAGTGTGTGTTTTAATATGTGTGGCTTCTGGTTCTCAGGTCGGATTATCAGTATTTGAGTAAGTGCAGCTCCATCAGTATCAGTATGCTTTGTATCTATGTAAATGTTTACTGCAGAAATATCTTATTTTACATGTGATGCATTTAAGTGTAAATGATTATCTAAATGGGATTAACGGAGCCCCTGAAGGAACACAGCAAGACATTTTTTAGGATACATTTTTATTCCTACATCATAACCTATAGTGCTATATTTGCATGTGTCTCATCTTGAAACCAAGGATGATGATGTTTTATCTCATTAAGAGTGATCTTTTGGGGGGGCATTTTTGATTCAACATTATTTGCTTTTATAATTGATTTATTTATTAATCATTTAAATTATTTTATTTTGATTTAACAGTAAACAGAACAAATACTTTGGAAATATGTAACCAGACCCACTAAAATACACAAAAGAGAAGGAGTACTTTTTTCATGGCAGGTATTTTGACTGCTTATATTAATGACGCCTTTGTTCTGTTAAATATCCCATGGAATCATTTTACATTCAGATTAAACATTATCACGCGCTTGTTCAAGTCATAAAAACGCAGCTAATGTTTGTGTCCTGCAATGATATTTCAAAATATCATAGCTGAAGGTGGATATTTTTAGTGTGGAGCTTAGAACAGAGGAAATTAAAGTGGTAAAATGCTGGTGACAGGCCTTATCTTTGAAGGCAGACAAGTGATCCCTGCGAGAAGATGATTAACACTATTCTGTTACCACACACAACATTTCTCTGCATAAAAGCAAGTAATAACAACAGGGAGACTTTCAGTGAGTGTGAAATCTTTCAGGACCGATTGGGATGAGTGGATTCATCATGACATTCTACCCCTCTCTCACCATCTCTTTGAAGGCGTTCTCTATGGCTCCTATCACCAGGCTCTCGTGCTGGATCTTCTTCTCTGTGAAGAAGCGAGGCGGTGGCGGGGTGTTGGACGGAGAAGCAGGCGCCCCCGCGGCCCCACGCAGTGAAGCGGCCCGGGTCAGGGATCGGTGAGGGCCGGGGGTGTTTCCCTGGAGGTAGGGGTTGCTATCGGGCTCTTCCCCAAGCAAGGTGGGAGGTGGAGACGCCTGATTACGTAAGACCTCGATAACGGCCTGGAGCTGGCAGGCGATGTGGTGCTGCAGCAGACGGGAGGCGACGACGGCTGCACCTGAACCAGCGTGACCATCAAACAAGGCCCAGTAGTGGAACACCAAACCTTCAGCTTCCTGGAGACGGGGTGGGATGGGAGGATTAGCAGAGAAGCAAGCAAAAATAAACATCATCATGCTGTCATGTGCATTTGGTGACAGAGTCTGTGCAAAAGCGTTTGAGCTGCTGTATCGAGGTCCTTACGATGACACCCTTGACCAATCATGAATCAGTCTCAGCTGTCAATCATGAAGTTTCAGACCAATTGCATTGCATCAGTTAACTAATTTCAACTAAACTCACTGGAAGAATTAGCACTTGAAAAAACATCAGTGTGACAAGAACTATCTGAAATGATACAGCTGAGCTTCCAGGATATTATTTGACAAAGAATGTGCATTCAAGGTCAATTAATACCAGTGTATTAAAGTCCAGTGTGTGTACCAGAGTGTGTGATGACACAGGCCTGACAAAGCATCGACAGAGAACCTTGTGCTCTCTCCCCCTACGGAAAGGAATGAAGAGATAAGGAGGTTTGACCTCTGTAGTTTCTACACACAGGTGGACAGAGTGAGTCATGAAGTTTTCTCCTGGTCTCTCCACTCACAAATGACTCACCCACATTATGAGTTCAACTTACAGCATCAGCCACTTAACTTCTATGTATTTTCCTTTTTCTAAACAACACTTATATTGTCCTTACGATGAGCTGAAGAGCTGCTTCTTTTGCCAGATCAATGAGATAATTGCTCATAATGCAGAGAGATCGTTTTCTCTCAACATTGATTCATATGGGTTTTGATTTGTTGACATTCATCATCACTTTGTATTTTCTGGGTGTGGTGTTGAGATCATACTCTAGATATAAAAATGACATGAATCATAAATCCTGCCTCTTCCATGGTAGTGGATTGGACGTGGGCCAATTCAAAAGTCAAAGTGCACGTCAAATACATTTCTCTCAGAGATGGTACTTACTTCCTCCAGCTTGTGCTCCACATGGAGCCCAAGGCCCTCTCCGTTGGGCAGGGAGTTGCGTCTCTTGGCAGTGGGCGTCTTGCTGGGCGTTGAAGGAGGGCAGTAGCTCATTGGCCTCCTTCTGGCCACTACCACTGTGCAGCACGCCTGGTCCTCATTTAACGCACTCTTACCAGCATTAATCACCCTGTGAGAGAAGAGAAAGGACAGTGGACATGAGGTTGAGTTATATTTCAGGCTTTGAAGGTTAGCTTGTCTGTTTGAGGTCCTCTTGAATAAAAATAAGAAATACACTTTTGGCACGGAGGGTTCCACTTAAAATTTTGCTACAAGCAACAGATGCACAAATTGCTGTGATTTGTCAGTCAGACATCTGTGGTCTGGAGGAACAAGCAGTTGAATGAAAGCCGACATCAGATGCTTTTTGTCGGATGAAACGGCGCAGTGGTCTTTCATGGTTATTATGGCTCCCTGCAGGATCACAACAATTAGTCAGAGCCGCAGCCCGAGGTTCATCTCCGTTCACCCAGTGAAGCAGCTGGCTGCGTATGTTTAATGTTCCCGATGAAGATCAAACGGGAGCGCTTGTTTGTGGTACTGCTCTGCAGGGACAGTCCGGATGCTTCGTGAGAGACACTTCTGGGTGAATTAGAGGTCTTTGTTCGTGTGTGAGACACATGCTCAAAGCTGTGTGTGCGCTGGCTGTAGTATCGGTTAAAAAAACAACAATGAGTCTATCAAAATACCTATCCTCAATTAGCCTATATTAATGGCCAATAAGGAAGTATTGGTCAGACTCATAGACTGTATAAAATGGTTTCTACTTGCATCATGTAAAAATGGCTATAAACACAAAGCTCCCCTGCTTTCTAGTAAGCAAACACCTTTTTGCAGCACCAAGCGTTTACTGACCAAATCAGCAAACCTGCAGAGCAAGAGCTACTGATAGTGAATGCAATAGTGGTTCCCATACACGGTGAAGGGAGGGAGATTGTGGAGACAGTTCTGATGAGACTGGCAAGTGCAACAGACATCTCTGGAGGCTGTTGTGAATGTCTGTGCGAGTTGAGAAATTGGCATGTCTATTTATAGCCTCAGACTGTGGGATGTTTTCTGCAAGGCAGCATCGGTGACTGGTTCTTATCCTCAAATGCTTGTTAACATCAGAGAGAAAGAGATAGAGAAGGACAGGTGGATGAAGAAACAGACACAGAATATGTGTTTTTAATATATTTTAGACATTTGGCTGTTGTTCATTCTTTACAAGGGTTAATGGTTAAATGTTTGGTTAATGGATGTTTAATTATTTATATTTCCGCATATGTTGTGCATTACATTGTGCCATGCACTCTCTTTTCACACAATGGCCAAATAATCTCTTTAAAGCCTTGAGTAGCTGTCCACTGCATCTGTAGAGATATACTACCTGGGTTTCAAGACAGAGAAGGGGGAGGTGGAGGGAGGGTGAAGAAGAAAATGTCTTCCTCTATTTGTGCAATGGTTAAATATGAGGAGACCACAATAATAAAGGCCTTTGTAGTGTAGAACCCTATGATGTTGATATATTTTCCATGCATATTCTTAAGGCACTCACAATTGATATACCTCAGATTTGTAAAATGTTTTGCTGTTTATCAAGTGTTTGTCATTCACACAAAGAAGAGTTTAAACCACAGCCTTCACTCAGGGGTAAAACTCCATCTTTAAACTTAACAGAAATAATAATGTGAAATTGATCGCTTAAATCAACTGATGAGAACAGTTGGCTTTCTAATCCAGCCATAATAATAATATATAATCATGTTTTTGGACTAAATTATTCAGACTAAATTACTAGTCAAGAAAATAATAGGGATGCTGCTCATGAAAATAAATAAAAAGGAGTTTCACTTTCTTTTGAACAACCATGTGGAAAATCAATGTGCATTAAAAAAACTGTTTAAAAATTGTTAACAATGTCTTCTGGTCTTGAAGGAGCTAAAACTTGCACTGCTTTGGTCATAATCTGTCATTCGTCATGCATAGCATAAAAGCCATTATGTCCAGGGAGCTGGTTTTCACTCTGATTACTCAGCTCCAATTCAAACCTTATGCGTTGAAACTGCATAATTACAACAGCAAATGCCCTCATGGTTGATACTGCCATAAAACACTATGACACATCAACCACTTTTGAGCTTGTGTGATACACTGAAGTCCAGGACCCTGCTTCATTGAATCCATTGTTAACAAACAGTGACGTGACGGTCTGCGGCACAAACAAGCATTCATGATAAAAATACACATTTGGGTGAACTTTTGATATAAAACTTCAGTAAAAGCAATTCTCATCCTTCATACAACCACAGTGCATTTAATTTAATAATCCCATTATGTTTTCATGAAAGGTGCAGCTGGTGCCATTGTGTGTCTGTGGCTGGGAGTACTCCTGCGCCTCATTTGTCCTCATTTCACCATTTGCACGGAGAACGATCGCCATTTTCTTTCCCTGCCTACCAGATTTTTTGTTTCATTTGGAACAATTACGTTTCGTCCTCCATTAGGAAAGAAAACCTAATATTCCCTCCATTGTCAGACATCTAATTCCCTCTTTTTTTCCCCTCCACCCTCAGCAACAGATTCTGGGCCAGACATTGGCCCGAAGGATAGAGGAATTATTTGGTGAAGCACAATGGTTGAAAGCGTTGTCTCTGTTAAATTTGGAACATGAAAGGAAGAATCACATCAGTCTTGCAAAGAGTACAAATTTAGTCTTTTTGAGGGTTTCGCTCAGGATTGCACACCACCTGATTATCAGAGATATGAAAGCACAACGGCAAAGTGAGAATTTGAATGCAGCCTCATAATGAATGGGTTCAGATATGTTGTTCGATATTAGGGTAACACTAATGAGATTGTAAGGCACATCACTGAAAAGACAAATAATTTATATCAGCTTCGACATTTGCATTGGTTGAAAACTATTGTGTCCGCAGCAAATTTTGTGTATCTCCTCGACTCTTAGAAATGAGAACCCTGTAAATGGTATAAAAAAACTCACGTGCCAAAGTCAGCTGCCTCATCAGTTTTTTGATTTGAATGAAAATGAAAAATGGAAGATCATACCTTGGCCTTGGAGTAACACTTGGTAACTACTGCAGGATTGAGATCTTTAAATGGAAACGAAAATATTTGTATATATAGCATAGTTTACTATATTTAGCATAGTAACATAAGTGCATGTTCCATTAAACTGAAAACACCATCATCCAAACTCTTTATACACCAACTCTCACACGTTACAGTCCAATGTGCAACTATTTAACATGTAGAGAAATCCAAACCCCGGCTCCCCCAACAGCACAAGTAGTATAAGTGATGAAAGAATGGATGATTAAAAGGATTATCCCAATACTGTTTATTGTGAGTGTCTATGGAGAGCAGTGAAGAGGGATGACACGTGAGGTGAGAGAGGCGAGAGCCCAAACGGCTGCTGTAATGACAACATGAGAGGCTTTAATTACAGTTAAATACTGATACGTGCTGAACTCATTAACCACACTGGTCCCAAAGAGACACTTCCTGCCTGCTGTAAGTAACAGTGTGAGTGTAATAATCCAGGGGCAGAGAGGAGAGGAAGGGATCATCTATTTCGAATGATGAAAAAAATGGTACAGGATCAGAGAAAACGTTATATCCTGCAAAAAGACCTGGACTTTACGCAGGATGATGTGATGCACCGCTTGAATTGAGGAGACACAAAAATATCACCTGTAATTAGGAAGTATAGGAGGCAGGTTTACACATGGGAACAATTATCATTATCAGTGAGTATCGACATCTACAGTAGCATCCTCTTCTCATCCACTTTCCTACTTATGCTTTGGTGCAAATGTGAAATGTCATCCAGACACATTAATGGTATTAGAGTGGAGAGAGAGATTGCTAACTTGGAACTGTCCTTTGTGATCCATTAGAGACAAGAGGACAGGGAGGAAGCTGGAAAAATCTAGATTGTTCTGTGTGAATTAGCTGGGGTGTAGGTTTATCTGTTTATCATCAACTGTTTTTGAGGTAATGTGTTCAAAAAGAACGCAACAGACACACAACCACATTCAAATCAAGTAACATGGTGGTGAAATAACGATAGACGGGATTCTCGAAAAGTAATTCATGCCAACTATCTGTGATCATATTCCACCACCGTGCCCTTACACAACTGCTGACCTTCCACCAGTATTTACCAGCACTGTACATTGATCATACTTTGATTGGTGCTCCACCCAGGTGAAGTTCAAACCAGGACCTCCCTACTGCTGTGTGCCACCACATGCAGGCTACATCCTGCAAACACGCTAATTATGATGTTAACAGAAGCACAGCATGTTAAAATATTTCCGGCTGCAGCCACATATGAGCCTCTTTCGGACACGACCACTGAAATATTGGGTACGGAGTTTGCCTTTCACATTTGAAGAACGCAACAGGATATTATCTGGGTCAGACACATTCATAACAACAGGAAAATGTCCAGAACATTCAAGTTAACAGTGCTGCCTGGGTAGAATATGCAGGAGACTACAGATATCTCATGTTTTTGTTTACGGCATATCGACACCCGCCTCGACCCTTATCACCAACAGCTCTAAAATGTTATCCATGGTCCAAGGTGACATCTTCGTCAGCATTTTATACGTGTACGGCAACTCTTTTTCATCCTGAGATGTTTGGGTTCTTTTAGTTTTTTCCATTTCACGTCCGCCACGTGTTAGAAACATCATGGATATGCCAACTCGCCTTTTTCCTGCTGTATTCTCACACGGGCTCACTCGGACATTTTACTAGTGGACTGGTCGGAAAAGTTCAGAAGCAACTGATACGGATATTCACGTTCTCACTAGACTCACTCTGGAAAATTTCAAGAAAAGGTCAGAAGCAAGCTTTAAGTATATTCTTAAATCAGAAACTTCTCTATAGACCAGCGTCTTCGCTTAATCTTAATCTTTACTTAACATTGCACATTTTTATAATCGGTGCTACATATTGTTTCAATACTGTTTTATTCTCATGTTTATTTGTGTGCACACTTTGAGAGCACACTCAACAAAGCCTTTATCACAACTCAAGAACTTCTATTGTATAACGATAATGGATGTTATCCACAGTTGTAATTTTGTAATTGCAAGACTAAATGTGTGCATTTGTGGAACCAGCTCTGACAGCTTTTTGTAACAGGTTTGTGGAGGAGCCTTTCTGCGAAGCCTAAACAGCTGTGCACAAATTATTTACTGCTATACTGTATGAAACAGCTGAAGGCAATGACAGACAAAAACAGAGGCCAGTTCTTCACTAAACTGCATCTAGAGACTGGTCAGCAGCACAGTCTGAAGTCTGCAGAGCCAGATTATAAAGTTGGCTCTTATTGAACTGGTTTATGTGGAGGCTGGTGACATGCAATCACACACTGACACAGAGAGAGCCACAAATAGAGCACAGTAGAAGACATAATACCCAGATGCTGCTGGCTTGCACGTGAACACCAGCTTGAGGGCTGTGATCCTCTGGGTGGCTGTGGTCGTCGTTTTTAAGCAAGCACGCGATTTCAATGTGGTGCACAGCAAAGGGAGGGTGCACGTAACCCAGAGGGGGTGCAGCTGCAAGGGGATGGGTGCAGGTCACAACAGGTGCACAGCCGGAGACGGTGCACATGCCTGGGGTAAAGAAGCTGACAGCTCCTGGGCCTCCACAACACTGATCTCAACTGTGGAGAAACCAGGAGCCGCTGTGGGATCAGCTGCTCCCGTGGCTACTTACTCAGCGTATCCGGTGGCCCACGGTAATCTCCTGGTTTCCTTCAGGATGAGGATGGGCCGGGAGATGTGGTCCGCCGAGCACTCGACCTCATCCGGGGACAGGCCGAGGAACTCGGGTCTCTTGTACTGGAATTTCAACGGGAGCTCGGAGCCGGGGTTGCCGCCTCCGCCGGAGCTGCCCCCGGCCACGATCCCGCCCATGAATCCGGCCACGGCGGACTTGACCCGGGTGAGCATGTTGGTGGCGCGTCGCGGCGGGTTGTCCGTCGGCCGGTGCGCGGAGCCGCGGCTGCCTTTGCCCGGATTCCCCCCCAGCTCGGCCGCGCTGGTCGACGACAGGCTCGGTGGAGAAGAAGCGGAGGAAAGACCCTCAGATTGTCCGGGTTTCATTCATCCAGAGCGGGGACAGGAGCCGCCACCGGAGACCTGGGTGTTGAAAGCAGCAGCGATGCTTTAGTTAAAACCCCGCACACCCCCATGAAGACTCGGTCATTACAGCTCGGCCGCCGTGAACGCGGAAATACACTGAAGATTAACGGGTCATGTGACACAGCCACGGATGAACACTGCAAAAAAAAAATTGAAATAGCAAAAATAAAATGACTAATACACAAGATTACTAATGCATGAGAATAAAAAAACATTGATTTGAGCCCTGCTTTTTATGTATATGTATTATTAATTAAAATTTTCAACATATTCAATGATGAAGTGGAGGAGCACTCCTTAATTTTTTATATTGGAACACGTAAACCACTTCACTAGTAACAAGTTATATTGATGTAGTCAATAATTACATTGATTTACTCTGAACAACATTTCAAGGGTTGACAGGATACAAATGAATGATACATTTTTTACAGTGCATGATAAGCAGAGATTAATAATGGTCGCAGAGCAGCAGGTCAAAGGTGAATCAGACCTGTGGTCATTACACATGTTATAGAAACCTGAGGGAATATTAGATTAAGCTCAGTGCAGGACACTCTGTTCTTGAGTGAACCATCCTTTCCTTAGTTCTAATTGTAGAATTTTCCTTTTAAACTCACATGGCTGGTGTCACTTGGTCCTCGATGTGTTTGTAGTTTCCCCCAAACAAAAGTCCTCAAATCTTAGCTCAGAAAACAGCAGACTATGTTATTCCACAGCAACAATGTTTGTTTAGTGCCCCCCAATATCCTTTTGCATGGAGCCCCCAAAGTCCCTTGTAACGCCCCTGGAATTTGGGCTTGAGCATAATTTAGTGCGGCACATTCATTGAAATATGACTACTGATTTCTGCTGCTGTGTTTCAGCTATAGGACGATCATCAACTGAACTGATAGCCTATTGTGATGAATATAAAACTTTAAAAGGTATATTATTTTTTATTATTATCCAAGACAATTTTTTTGTCTAGGATATATAGCGACATAAGAATGCTGGTATGTGACTTTACAGAGGGTTTATAACTTGACATGGGTTTATTGTTTGTTATTATATAGCAAATGCTACAAATATTATTTATGTGTTATCAATTAATAATAATCTCCAGAATAATTTAGCCATTTTCAATCCAACTATCAATGCATCTGTTCATCAACAACCTATTCACATTGACAACAGAAATTATTATTATTATTCATTGTTCCAGTAAAGAATCCACTTATAAATAACTTATGAGGAAAACTAGTGCCTCATCATTGGATAATTAACAGTTATGACTGCAGACTTAATAGCTCATTCTGCTATAAATAAAAGCCCTTTACTTATTATTAAAGACTTTTATCACCTGCCACCAATGCACTTGATAGGAGCCGTAATACACACATATTCCCAGTAGATAGAGCCATTACACAAAAGTAGTTGGACGACTTATGCCACGGATAAAGATCTTTTTTTTTTTCAGTGTGTATTTAGGAAATACTTCAGATCTACATCTGTAACATAGCAAAAAAAAAACTGGAGTAGAAAATCAGTGTTCATCTTATGTCAATAAAGTCGTCATGGAACTTGGCTGCGGGTCTGGGTCATGTTATGATGGTGTGTCCTCATGTCGGATTTTCTTTGAGGAAGCTCAAAAACTTGGCTTGGTGCCAAATATGCAAACTACTTCATGGTCTCTGCTCGGCAGCTTGTGTGTAGATGTTTGTAATTGACTTGAATTTAGTCGCTGTACATGGGTCCTTTGTGTCTACTATGAGGTTTGGCACAACATTGGCAACATAGCTGGATTTTCAACATTGTTCAAATACTAGACCCATGTGTAACTGAGGTACAACACGTCGATGTGTTTTCTTGGTTTATTTTTAGAAGGTGTATCCTCGTAATGGAACGATTTTTCCTTTATAGACCTGTTTATAAGGGCAGGGTGTTTTCTTATTTGTTACTTAACCTCTGTCAACTGCTTTATGGTCCTGTGGATGATATTGCACAACACTGCTTAAAAGAAGTGCAGAGATTGACAGTAAAACACAAGTGAAGCTGTATTGCTCTGACAGTTTCCTGTTGGGTTGCTGTTAACACAAATGTATAGAATGCCTCTCTTTACAGAAATGTTGTCATCCAGTAGTTAAGTGCATCAGGACTATCAATTAACCTGTGATTATGTTGAAAGTGCTCGGAAGCTGTGTCTGGGTTAAACTCTTCCCTGATTCATTCCGAGCATTAGTCCGTTAATAAGTTCAGATGTTGCCTCAGGTCATCCTAGTTGTTTTGCGGGAATCCAACCGAGTAGCAGCACATTCTGCATCAAGCAAAACAAGTTATTATCATGAACTGTTGGGATGAAAACAAAATGATTATATTGCACTGTAAGATATGGCTTTACTTAAAAAAAATTTGTTAGTTTAGCTCAATTCAAATGTATGAAACAATTCAGTGAAATTAATTAGCAACATTTCTCATGTTATGATATTTGAAAGACATTGATAATTGATATAAAGCAGCAACAATCAATATTTTTTACAACAGAACCTATCAAATCACTAGATGTATTGTGACGCTCAATATCTGCAGTATGCTACCTTCTTGGGACACTCAACGCTGTCGAATAACTTTTGCAACTAGCGGACAACCCAATCCACGTGAATGCTAATGCTACCCATGTTGTTACATATTGCTAACAACTTTTCCATATTAAAAAAAAGGTAACAACACATAATAAAGAAATAAAATGAAAAATATGGACATAACTTTCCAAATGTTCCAGGTTAGTGAACTTTCAAGCTAAAGCTCGGCAATTTGTTCGCACGTGTTTGGGTGTGTGGCACAAGCACAGAGCCAAGAGGAAGTATCCTCTCTTTAATCATAAAGGAGTGATAAATGTCAGCACTATTGTGTTGAATCAAGTTCTCGATGAAAGTATTTTCCTTGTTGACTCATTAATCAGCAAAAGAACCTTTCCCCCCACATTTTCTACCCTCAATCTCAAAATTAAATCAGCCATTATGTTCCCTGCAAATAAAGAAGTAAAATCTTAACCTATGGTTAAAAAAAGGTTTGACAAGGTGACCACAACATAGTGAACATTATGCTTGTATCAAGTTACAGCCTTGAGGTGACTGATTGAGTTGGATTTGATTACTGGGACATTTCCCAGGAAAGTACAGTAAGAGGTTTTCTTGTAGCATCTGGTATTTCTTTTATCCTCATAAAATAATTTTTAAGTTGTCCAAATTGTTGCTCCTTTTCTGTAAATCCTGACACAGATTTACTGCTCATTCTTTGTCACAGGTGCTTTTTTTTAAAAAAAAGATAAGTGCTGTTACAAGAACAAGAAGGTAGGAGGATGTTCAATATGACTTGTTACATTACACAAGTACGTTCAGAGAGCTCCACCCCCTTTTCTTTCCCCCAGCTGCTTGTTCTCTGTATTTCCCTCCCTCCCTGACTCTGCCTCAGTCCATTTAACTCTGGATACCATCACAGAGAGGATTTTAAAAAACAAGGGAAGCTCCTCACCATTCATCCATCCTCCTGAAGGTCTCCCCTCCTCCTCACCTGACCCTGCCACCCAGACGAAAGAGTAGAAGAGGTCCAGCTGCTGGTGATGAAGATGATCCTGTGGGTTGCCCTGCTCACTGCTCACTGTTGCTCGGGTCTGAATGGAGCTGCAGCAGAAAGCACAGGACTGGAGAGGATTGAAAAATGCGGCACCGGGTGTTCTCAGGTAAAACTGCAGCCTCTCAAGCATCAAAATCACATAGCAAGGCTCATTGAGTCTACTTCATACATGAAATACATGTATGTTTACCATGATTTCTGTTATAGCCACATGCACCATTACAGTTACTGCTAAAAACAAAATCCAAGTTTACACAGTTTCAATTCAGGATTTCTTTTGAGGTAATCTTCAAGCATGAATGTGTCAGTTTACAGTCAGTATCCAAGCTGTAAAACCAATTCCTATCATTGCATGACTCAACTAATTGAACCTTTGAATCTAAGGAGAGCATGCATTCAGTGTTGCAATTAATGCCTATATACAAGTAACTTCAGGTGAGGTCATGTTAATGGAGGAGACTGCTGTGAACTTCCTGGAGGCTGAAGAACTTTTAATCATTTGCTCGAGCCTTAGCGGGAAACAGCAGAAGTCAGCACTGATATGGGTGCAAACAAAAAGAAGATTTTTTTATAACTGTGTGGTATTCATTGGCATGACACTGCACTCCTTCATTAAAATTTAAACTCAATATTCACCACTGGAATAACAGCTCATACATGAGTAAACAGGGATGTGTTTTAAAAAAGCTTTGTGAGCGAGCCTCTGGAAATCACACGTAATGACCATGGTGACTCACACACACTGTTGATTTATCTGTCTTGTTGCAGCTTCTAAATTTAGAAAATACCAGTATGATAATTGGTTTAAATATTTTAAGCCCAATGTTGTAAATGTGGATCATCCAAAAAAGGTTGGGCTTCCCCATGAAGGAGCATTGAGGATGTAAACAGCTCCTCGTTGTGTTGTGCCCTTGTTCTCTTTGTTAATAATGACTTAATCAATGGAGATCCTATTCACAGGAGGTAATCATGTCTCTTTTTCCTTCTCTCTGCTCAGGGCCTTCACTGCAAAGCCAAGCAAGACCGTGAGTATGGATACGTATGACTATTGTATCACATGCATGCACACAGAACATGATTTAGCACAATAGAATATTGTGTGTGATGGCCAAGAGTCAATACTGTCTGACTAACCACCCCACATGCAGTGAAGTAAAACAATGTTTGTCTTAGAAAGTCAGCATGTTCCACTCATTCAATTCAATTCAATGAATAACAGAGGGCGAAAAAAGTTGTGTCACTTCCAGAGACCTGAAAAAAATCACTGCTTTTTTATGTCTGCATGCTCCGTGTAACACTTTTTTTAAATTTCTGATCCTGTCCTGTGTAGATTGGTTTCAGCCTCCGTGCCAGGAGGCTCCTGGGGGTCTCAACACATCCTCCGTGTTCCACAACATCAGCTTCTCCACAGTCATGAGGTGTGAGGGCAGGCAGAAGTGCTCACTGCAGCTCCGGATCAGAACTGCATTACAACTCACAGGTACGTTACTGTGATAAATGACAGTCTACAGCTGTTCCAGTGGCTAACACACTGATGTAATGTTTACCATGTTCATCTTAGTTTAACATTTGATGTAGTAAAGTATTAGACGCATTATATTTTTGATCATTTGGTGCTATAGATCATAGTCTGTATAAAAGTGACTCCAAAGTGTCTTGATTGCCACCTGGTGACTGGCTGCAGTATTATTCATAAATCCTGCCTCCTCCATGTTGATGAATGGGACATGGACCAAACTAAAAGTCCAAATACATTTTTATCAAAAAAGGTTTGTCATTTAAATAGTTCTTATCACAGGTGTTTGTGCAAGTGCTATTTTTCCCTTTAAGCTTTTCCACTAAGTATTTATATATATAAGTTTGTTCCTCTATGTTTATGTTGTAGGATTACTTTACATTCTCTATAACGGAAGTTGTTACTTAAAAAAATTTACCAAGGAAGTTTTAAATGCAGCTCTACGTCAAGCCAATTTCAGTCTTGACGTACAGATGGTTATCACTGGTGACATATTTGTAGAATAACTGTGAAGGAAGTTTTCATTTACACAGCCAATCACGTTCCACTATTAAACTTCTGCTTTTGCATTTTAAACATGTTGATTGACATTTTCTGTTCCTGATTCTGCACACGCCCACACGTTTCTGATGAACTGTGGTCACTTGTCCACATCATCAACCATGATGTCTTCATTGATGGAATTCTAAACTGTCTGTTTGTGGGGCTGGGAATCTTTAGTCCACTCAGATGATGAAATGTGACATGTGACATTTTTCCTGCACGGCTCCTACACCAATGCTAGCTGATGCATTTGTAGCTTTTGAATGGTTAACAGTTACTGCCACTGTCTAACAGTAATTGTCTGGCCTCTGACCCTCTCTCCACAGAGTCCATCCATGGTGTGTCAATGTGCACTGTCACTGCAGGGATGATGATGAGCTGCAGAATCCTCAGCTTCAGCAGATCGTCGAGGAAGAGGATGTCTGGGCTGCAGGTAGCGTTAATAGCGTTAAAAACATGGTTGTTGGAGAAACGTAATCCAGAGTGTGATGTAAGAGGAGTTTTCTTCTGCGTCAGTGCCATTAAATTTTAAAGTCTGATGAGGCAAGAAAAAGTTAGTCAAGTATAAAAGGCAAATTCAAATGTTGGAGTATATTATTCTTATAGTTTTTTCTTCTTAAGTTGACACCAAAAGTTTCAGAATCACTTAAACAGCTCTTGTGCACCACGTAACTGTAGATTGATGATGGGTTCTTAGAATACAGTTTCCATGACGATACTGCCGAAATAACACCATTTTTAAAATTTGCCCTTTCTTTGAAGGTGGAAGTTGAAAACGACTGCACAGTTTTTTCTCCGAACCAAAAAGTTCAAGTTATGGTGAAAACTGTGCCGAGCTACTGTGGCATAACCTGGACTGACACCTACAATGCTCCAGGTGAGAACACGGCCCTGCATATTTGAATGATTGTGCTAATGCTTGCTCATTTGCATGGGACAGATCGCAAACAGGAGATGTAAAAACGGAAGATGAGATTTGCATGCTGCTGCAAACATTTAAAATTCTAAGTTATCATGAAGGTGTATGATTTCTAATCAGTAAAGAACAGAATGTGGGTGTTACATAAAAGATACATGCACTGGAGTTATGTCACTTTTCTCTTTTTCCCCCCCAAGGTTTAAGCCTTTTCAAGTTTGTTACTTTTCTCCGCAGCATGCACCAGTGAAGATATGAGAAGACATGTCCCTGAATGCATCAGTAAGTTCATTTCATACTCTACATGCAGTATTACGTAAGTATTTTGAGCCCAAAAACAAAACCTTTGTAGGCTACAACTCCTGGGGATATCTAACTTGTAGATATCCCCATCTAACTTGTAGATATCCCCAGACAATTTAATGAAAGGTTGATTTTAATAAAAGTTTATACATCTTATAGGCCTAACACCCTATAATAGACTCTTTAATATAAGTTTCCATGTACATTTGTTGAAAATCTTTATTATCAATACTGACCTCTGATTCTTTCAGCTGGCAGGCTATCATATGACGTTAACCCCGTGAAGAAGGAGCTCAGAGCCAGTGTTTCAGAAATGCTAGAAGATCACGACTACAACCTTCGTCTGTGCTACAAGGATTTCATCTGCTCTGACACAGGGACAAAAGCACTGGTTAGTCCCTCCATTGAACAGAAACTAAAGCCGAAAAAAAATATCGAGATATTTGCCTTTCAAATATGAAAAATGAAGCAGGATATTGTCTGGAAAAATTAGCAGGAAATTCAGGCAAGGAGTAGTGTCTGAGTAGAGAATGTGGTAGACAGTACATTATGTATTATGTAAATTGTGGCCGCTTTATGGCCCCCAATTTAGAAAGATCCAACATACGCCACTGCATGCCAGTGAATCACCCTTGGTACTGATAAGCAATATGGTCATACTTACCATTGATTTTAATATAAACTGCAAAGGTGGATTGCACTAACATGATGATAATATTATTGATTATTGGAGATGTATCTGCTGCATCATTGAAGGACAACAGAACTCTAAAATCATAGTTGTTCATTCAGAAAACCTGTAAAAACAGCAGAAGGATAAATGTAGGAAACTTTTTGTTTACCTGTCAGATAAAGAAGGAGGAACCTGTGAAGAGCGTCACCCTCCCGTACTCCCGACCTTTGCCCTGCCTCTGCATCGAGGTACAGTCAACACTCTTTTACAACCCATGCAATAAATTCTGGGAAAGAGAATGTACCATCGTACTAATTAAATTCCTCACAGGGGTGGTCAGCGGTGATGGATGCCCCCAGAGTCCAGGTCTGCCCATTCAAAGACCGTGAGTCACTTAATTGTCTCCAAACACTTCCTAGTAAATGCAGCATGTGTGCACGATGTTGATAATGCAGTATATGTTATATGACAGCTTGCCACTTTCCCTCTGCACAGGTCTCCAGGAACTGTGGTTTGGAATTACCTTTGACCCACTAGAGGAGACGCTGTCCTGGGAGCTTGTCTGCCCAGTCGCCACTGTTGTAACATTGTGTCAAACAAGAGAGGACGGCGTGTGTGTAGACCTGCCCCATGCCTCCCGTAATGTTAGCAGAGGAAAGGTACAAACCTTTATGGAACTTTGCTTTGTGAGGTTTTATGGTCGCCGCAAATGGCCACACACACCCACACACACACACACACACACACACACACACACACGACAAGACAGGATCCAGACCATGGACAAAGCAAAATCTGAAAAGTAATTCCCCTTTTTGGCACTTGTATCACCAGATGAGTGATAGCTGCCAGGAATGTCAAAATGTTTTGTGATTCACCAATCTGACATCTGAATTTGACCTTTAAACATATCAGGAACATCGTTAGAGTGAGAAGTGATAGGATACTTCTGTAACAACAAAGAAGCAAAAGTCTGAAACTCTGTTTTGATAAGAGATTGTCATCTGAATTAAATCTGAAGCCATGTCACTTGAGAAGGGAATTCTCTGTCTATGTAAAAATATCCAGTGATGCAAAGAGTTTCCCAACTGCAAGATGACTTGAACAAAAACAAAGACTGAACCCAAAGAAAAAGATAAACGTAGCATTTAGTATGTTGGATCCAACCCCACCAAAAAATTTTGGACATCCACTTGAGAAGTTGCAATGCTACTTTATTGGATTTATTTTAATTTCATTTCAAATTTGTATTAATTTCATCAATAACTCTGTCATCACTCTTTGGTTTTCAGATAAGTTTTAATGAAGTGGACCCACACCCTCAACTGTGCATAAAGGTAATAATCACTTCTCCCCCTCAGGCTCTTAAGGTGTTTTGCCATACAGGGCTGGCATAACATTGGATTTAGGAACAGGTTTTTTTACTTTTTGTAGTCAACTGCTTTATGTGTGTCTGGTTATGGTAAGATGCTGTTTCGACAAGCTCTGGCAATTGTGCATCTTTGTGTAAGAAACTTTGCAATAAAGATTTAGCTATATGGGGAAATTCACTTTGACAATTTTGAAAGAAGATTGACACGTTTTTACAGGAGAGTGGTATGGCTCTTCTAAAGGCTCATTTATGCTCATTTATGATTTGTTGCAAACTGCCCACATACTTTCATGCGTCCATTATATTATCATGGTTGTAAAGCAATACATCCATTAGAGGGCAGCGCAGAGTCAAGAGTTTCGGACAACAACAAACATGACGTTTTGATAATGTATCTCTTAAGAAAGAGGGAAAAACGGCCGCTCTATAAAATTCTCTCCTCAAAAAGTTACATCGTTGTTGAAATTTATTCTTCATGGCTCATGGTCATCTCGCTTAACTATTGACTACACTGCCCCCCCCCCCGTAAAAAACATATAATAAGTGTTATTCAGACTCAAGAGTGAACTTTGTTGTTTGTATGAAATTAATGACTCGACTGTTTCCTTTTGTTGGCAAAGACATAAAGTTGGCATCTGAATGAAATCTTACTTCATTGAGGAGTGATTCAGCTTCTAGATAACTTCAATTTAGCATGAAACCGATATGTGCATGCATGCTCTCATCAGCCAGGCAGGGCTTGGCCTAATACCTGCGATGAAAGTACTGGAGCGGCCAATAAAAACCAGTCGGACTCCCTAATGACTTCATAGAGAAGCAGCCAATAGGAAACTGTTGAATTGGTCCGTCACCAGAGATTCACATTGATGTGGTCTCCAGATAAGAAAAAAAAGAGGCAGTGGGATGGGGGAAGTTCAAACGCTCATCCGCTCTTGCTAATCTTAGCAGGAAGTAAATAATTCTCATTTTTACTTTATACACTGATTAAAAACACTGTTCACTGTGGGTGTGGCTTAACCTTTAGAATCGTAGCATTTTTTAAGAGACAGCACGTTTAGCTCACTGCAATAACAACATCTTATGTCCTCTGCAGTTTACTGTCGGCTCTCAGTTCTGGACCAGGTGCCCCTTTGCTGATGGAAGACTCCAAGGTAGCACTATCTCATCACATCATATGATGGGATCATCTGATTATCACAATGCTACGTCAGCCTCAAGCAAACAAATCCACTCACAGTTCTTTTAGCACGAACGGTAGATTATATATGAAGATAACGATGGACTGTGGTGTGTGACTGCTAATTTAATCTCTGCCATAATTTCCAGCATGGCATGTGGATGTGACCAGACGGCAGGACCATGAAGAAGTGGCAATGACGTCAAGGGTCAATGCAACATTTGGTTTGTGTGTGAAGTCTGCCAGGGCTGCTGAGTGCCAGATCAACAAAACACACACAGTGCATGTGGTAGGTAGCCAAATTATATTTCATTATTTGGTGTTTGATGACAGTGGTGGAGAGTGTTGGAGAATTTTCATATTTTGTCAAACCTCTCAATGAGCCTATGTGGCCTGTATGGATGCATCCCTCCCTGTTACAAGGAACTGATGCAACAGGGTTGCGATAATTGTCAAAGTCAACTTCTTGGCTGCTCTTTGTTTGTTATATTTTTCATTTTTTAGTTGCTAGGAAATTATAATTTTCCTGAGAATTTTGTTGGAAGTTTGAACCACTGTCTTACAGAAAACAATGTTAAAACATCCTTAAACAAAATGGATCAACTAAGGACCGGAACATATTAGAAAGGACGCCAAGACAATGTGAATAATTTGAATTGAAAGTAAATGAAGAAACAAAATGAGTTGGAGATCTCAGTGAAAAATAACCAAGGAAGGGTTAAACAGTGAGCCAGCCACATGATGGGATGTCGCATTCAGCTCATTCCCTTTAACTACTGGAGGAAAAATATTATATATTATGAGATAAAATTAAAATTAAAAAACAGGACTACAGAAAAACCTTGAGCCCAAACTTAAACAACAAACTAAAACAACCCTCTAAACTCCTGCTGGGAGACAAAAGAACCACATTCAGGAGAGGACTGGGAGAGCAATGCCCAATGAGAGTTTTATTTTTCATTGCCAGATTCAACACATTATTAGTTTTCTGACATTTTTGGCAATATGAAGTGCATAAAAATGCATATTGCATTCTGAGCATAGGTAATTAACACTTAACACTCTTTCAGCACATTGACAACATGTTTTTTGGAATTGTCGTTGCAGGGAGCTGCTTGTTAAGGTGTGACATTGCACTTAAATGCTTCTTCAATCAATTCCTCTCTAGTACAAAACAATACTTGACCAATAGCACATAAGAGCAAAACAGAAACCATGACGACGACCCAAACACTTGCATGATTCAGCTCCTGAGGATTTTTCTTTTAGTTTCTTTTGTTTGTTTCTCAGGGTCAAAATGAAGACGTCGGTTTGAACCTGAAAGAAGAACTATGCAGCTTTTGTGTCCAGGTATGTTTGCACAACTAATATCGCCTTTGGGGTAAAACCTGTGAGCTCCTTGAAATCCCTGCTGACTTTGAATGCTATGTTTTTTTGATAGGTGAGGAGGCTGGATGTGAAGTACTCTGCCACCGTCATTCACTGTGTTGAGCAATGCAGTAAGTAAGGTGGTGCTGATATGTGGGACAACCTCTTATCTTCGATGTGATCTAGTCTGGGTGTATCTCCACTCTTTCAACACATCACATTCAAATGCATGTTGCCACCGTTTCACCTTGTTTTTTTTTTTATTTGCTTTGAAGCAGTAGTAGAGCTTATCTTTACTATCACACAACAGAAGACGCAATCAGAAATGAATTTGTTTTCTTGGCATGGTTTGGAAAATAAAACCAGTATCCTTTATTCATGTCTGTGTGTGTTATGGCTGAAACCCTATAAACACGAGGGCTCTGTGGAAAGTGGACAATTCCCTCTTTGATTTGGTCTTGTTGTTTTTCACAGGAGCTCAAATTTCTGTCATAGCTGTCCAATTTCAACTAACTGACACAAAAGTACTATGGAGGATTCGGGCCACTTGAAGAAAATTACGAGAATAAAGGCGTGATTTTACAAAAATATAAATAATTTTAAAAGAATAAAGTTGTGATATTATGAGAATAAAGACATGTTAGAGGGGGGATATCAGAACATCAGCCTGTTGCCTACGTTACAATTAGAAAGTTAATACTACACAAAATAACAAATTACTTACTAGCCCAAATTTAAATTGTTTTTCTTCCCTATTTCTCTTTTGTAAAAAAGATAGAAAACCCATAGATATAACTATTAAGCTGCTTTCAGACATGCACTTAACTCCAGAGAAACTCTGAGAATTTATTGCTATTGTGAACCCCCACTGCACTGTGCATGTGTGAAAGGCAAACTGCGAAGCCAGGACCCTCCCTAAAGATCTGACTGCAACCCTTTAATAGATGTTTTTAGTTTCCTGTTGAAAAGCCAGATTGAGGAGTGGTTTCAATCTTCTCACCCCTCTGTCTCTCCTCAGACCAGTCCGCACATCTCAGACCCGTCGTCGCTGCGGGAACCTCCAGGGACTTGATCTGGGTCCTTGTGCCAGTCGGAGTTTGCCTCTCTGGCATCATCACCGTAACTCTGCTGCTCCATGTGCTGCTGACTGGTAGGTACAATATTACACCATCAGGCTCGAGCCTGCAGTAATTTCTTATCTGTTGACATAGCAAATGTAAGAACTGGAAACTAAATTGATTTAGGACCACTTCCAGCAGCCACCCTTCCAAATCTCTGACTGTGTAGCTCACTCCAGATAAGTGACAAGAGCTCAGGGCTGCACTTCCTTGCTTATTGATTGAGGCTCAAATTACAATGAGGAACAATTTGTCAGTTTGTAACCTTAAAACCTCAGTTACAGTACAAATTGTGAACATATTAGTTCTGGTTTAAAAATGTATAGTTGTATGATTACACAATGAACTTAAAGCAACTTTCTTCCAGTAAAATAGCAGCTTCTAAATTAGTTTGGTGATTAACTGATCAGAAGAATGGAGCCCATTCATCTCCACCCATCACCCTGAACAACCGTTCTTGCTTCATGTAACTTGAGCGTATATGACTGATAGTCGCATCTAAAATTGTCAGAATCAGACCCAGCAAGTTCAAGAGTAACACTGAACTGAGATCAGTTAAAAAGATTAACTTTTTCATCTCCTGTGAATAGATGGTTCTCAGTAACCTAAACCTGACAATAAATTCTGTGAATCTATTCGAGCGTACAAAATGATGATCTGAATTTGAATTTTGATATGTTTCTTTATCTGTTTCCCTTGTGTTTTGTTTCAGTGTATCAGAAGAGGAGGAAACAAAGAGGAAATGAAAAGCAAAAACGTAAGAAGATCTTTGTTTTGTTTTACTTTTGATGTCTTTGCACTTAAGAGAAACCTGACGCCGTTCTCTGTTTTGCTGCAGATCCTCCTCACGCCTGTGTGGTCCCTGCATTACAAACTCATCCCCACGGAGGGATCCTCATACCTGATTCTCCGCTGTGTGGGAACACGGAGAAGGCCAACTTACTCTCAGAATAACCAGCTCACAAACAACTCATGCAAACTGAATAAGTTCTCTGTTGAATGCAATACTAGCATCGTGGGACGTATATTAAATAATCCAAATATTAGCCTGTGTCTGTTAGTGTCTATGTGATGGTTATTTTGCTCTTTAGGGTGAAAGTTACAGTGCGTGTTGTCATGTTTTAAGTTAAAATGTTCATTCAGCTTGCAGCTAAACTTTTCTCTTCCTTATTTAAATTTATATTTTCAATAAAAAAATGCAAACAAAACTACATATTTCTATTTTTTGATTTGGTAGAATACAGAATTATATTTTACAATATTTAAAACCACACTCGTATGTCCTGGTGTATTTATTTTAACCATAAAGACGTTTCCTTGCACTGGGTGCTCACTTATGCAGCACATGACACAAGCACACACAGTGCATCTGACCCTTGACAATCAACACCTCACCTGGCATTCACTACTTTTGTGTTGCACTGAATTATGAGATGTTTTTGTGTCCACACCCCATTGAGACATCCTGCCAGCCCTGACAGGGAAAAAGGCCTCCTTTGGTATTTAAACTGAACCGTTTCTGAGAAATTAGTGTTTACAGGAGTTCCAACTTTGTCACTTTGTTCGTACACTTGTTCAGACACGTACATGCTATTATTTGCTGTGTTTCCTTTTTAGATTTCCTTATGTAACATAATTCTGGACTTTTGTACCAGGATGAAAAAAAATGACATTTTAATTCAGTGGAAGCTCTTTAAGCATCACACCCTCACCCTCAGATGAGCATGTTATTTGGACAGATGAATTAAACTGTTACAATTAATTATTTAAGCTCTGATTATCATTATTTGTACATTGATAATGGATAAGGTAGCTAAGTAATATGTATTGGCTTATGGCATGGTTTTGTTATGCGTAAGAAGAAACTGGACCCCATATGCAGACACAGAATGCAGAGGCAGAAGTAGCAGTCCCCAAAAGGCAGATTGTGATTTATTACACAATAAAACTCCAAGGGGTTACAAGAGAGGTAGGTAATATTGAATGAGCATAAAGAATCAGGGTGAAACCAGAACAGCAGAGTGGGTGGACCTGGATCAGAGGGAAACAGGGATTTTCTGCAGGGATGATTTTCTGCAAAACACATAGAGAATCACTTTCTGTAAGGTTTAGTCAAAACACCAACACCGTTGCGGATGATCGGACGATTGGACAGCGTGTAGAGCTGGAGCCTTTATACTGTGGAGGTGACGATGATTGGAAGCAGCTGCACTGATCGGAAGGTGGGGAGGCTCCAGAGCTGAGCCGGGTCAAGAGAGACATGAAGCCTCGCCCGGGTTCCCAGCCACACAGACAGGAGAGAAAAAGACAGGGCAGGTTGGGCAAACTGCAGAATCCTGACAGTTTTCAAAGCATGTATGCTAATGATCTATTTGAAAATGAAAATGGAAGCCTACTGCTTTCTGAAACTATGTTGGCTTTATTTCCCCATGCAGGATAAAGAAAGTGAAAGAAAATGTTCCTGCCTAACTGGACCTGCTCGAATTGAATGGGTCCATCATGGGTCATGTGTCACCCATTCAGTAGATTTTGATTAATCCTTAAACAAGCGGCAATGAAAACATAACGTTATTGGCGGATGTAAAAATAGTTGTTTGCATGTTTTTGTGACTTATTTTTTCACTTATGAAAGAATGTAAAATAACCCAACCACCGGTATTCAGCTTAAAATGTGTTGTTTTGCTTTGACTCTCATCACACGTTACTGTCTGAACTCAACTTGGCTAAGCTAATAATAATACACACTCATTTATTTATTACTATATGGTGGCTCTCAACAAAGATATTTCCTATCTCCATCTTCCAGTTACAGCCTCTTCCCCCTGCTCCTCACTGCGCTTCCCGTATCTTTCACCGGTCTGGAATGATTTCCACTTGGTTTACATAAGCAATTCATGCTGTTCAAAAACAGGCCGCCATTCCAGTGAGAGAACAGTGGCGTCTCTGTGCAGATAGTGGTGCAGAAGACCCTGCAGGCGTGAGCGAGTGCACCTTCCACTCAGTGAAGAGGCTTTCACACACAAGGAACTTGTTACTGTGTAATTCTAAATGGGTCAGACTTCTGGTTCGGATGTGATAAAAACCTATTTCCCTGGAAGGTTGGTTTTTGAATTTGCTTTTGAAAAGCATGTAAATCATCTGGTGGGTTAAACGGGGTATAAAACAAAATAAAGCAATGTGCTCATTCAGGTTAGACACGTCATCATCTCACAGGAAGAAGTAAAAATTCAAAGCAGTCTCTGTTTTTATACACACGTGTCATCAAGAAGACCTTGGATCATGAATTATATTATGTACAGACTTTTGCTGTGTTATTGTTCAAAACTACTTCAGTCACATTGAGGAAATCATTGAATTTAATCATCAAGCATGTGATTGCTGTAATAACCTGTAGTTGTAATTCATGGTGACAAAGCAAAAATATGAACAGCCAATATCAGGTGGTAACCCTGAACAAATATTGAATTATGTTGATTATTGATATATTGCTCTGGTGAGTTCATGATTGCCTGATGCTGACATTTGTACAAACAGTAGATTAGAGATAAGCCTGTCATGTTGGATCACCTCAGCAGGAAAAGGTGCTTCCCAGACTGACCGACCTTGTATTGTCCATCCTGTAAGAGCCAGAGCAAGGTCAACTGAAATCTGTCATCGTCATGTTGACAATACTGAACACACCGTTAAAGTAGAGCAAACAAATAGTGTTTGTGTTTCTTTGACCCCTCCATCCACCCAAAATAAAGATGGACAACACAACTATATTTCCTCCCTCTCTCTGGCACATACTGGATACAAGAGGTGGGTCAATCATGAGTCAGTCTCAGCTCTCAATGTTTTTCACAATGTTATAGCATCAAATATATAATTAAAACCAAACTTACTGGAAAAATAAACAATTGTTCTCCATTTATCCTCTAGGCAGCCACCAGAAGGCAATTGAAATATTTTGGCTTCACTTTTGGGGAGCCGTTGTGTCATCCACTTTTATGAGCCACCCTAACCTCCTCTTCTTCCTCCTAGCATGGAGTTTGACGCCTGGATAAGATGACCTATGTGCTTGTTTTTTGGGGACATCCCTCTCTCATTTTTTCATTTAATTAAAAAAATATCAGAACACAATTTATAGAAAAAGCATAATAGCCATGCTAGCATCATGTCAGCTGGGATTGGCCCCAGTCTCCGCTTTAGGATATGCAGCTACTTCCAGGTAATTTTCATAGAACATGACGCACCTTGCAGGCCTCTCTTCTGGATTCTGTACACTTCATGGGAAAAGCACTTACTTGTGAACGATGATGACCTGTTCATGTTTGGCAGGTATCACTTTCTGTTTTTGTCGTAACATGATATGGGTTTACCGCAGCACCTGAATTCTTCTCATGGAGGGAGCAGCAAAACTGTCTCCAATTTTTTTTACGAGAATAAATAATTATTTGTGAGTGTAAATCCTCGACGACCTACATGGATACCAGAGAGAGATGAAGATGAGGAAGAACAAAAGAAAGAATGGAAGAAGGAAACAAATCAAGATCGTTCTGACAAGGTTGTCAAGGAAAGACATGAAAAATCACATGATCATGAACTTGTGACAGTCTGACTAAGTCGTTGGTGTATTGTGTCTGAGACTGTATGAAAGCTTGGACTTTTCAAACCTGAGTAATTACCTTTCGATATCAGTTATCAGGAAAGAGACATGTGCAGTCTGGTGGCGTCAGAGAGTGACCAAACCCAACCTATAACCTTGATGTACCAGAAACATGACATCACAACAGTGATCCCACACACTCCTCACATTTTGAAAAACCACATTAGATTCAAGTGAAATTATGAGCAGAACCCAGGAAAAGGAAAAAAAATGTGGACAAATTTCACAAAATAATTTTCATTATAACAAATTTACAGTAACAATAAGATAAGAATTTATTAATCCCAAAGGAGTGCCAGCTTGCTCCAAGATAACAGTAACTGCACAATAAAAAAAAGATTAGTGAATAAAACAATAAAGAATTTAGTTTAAAAATATGAAGGAAAAATAAAGTATAAGTGTATTGTAAATGACAGAAATATAAAGTGTATACTGAGTACTGCAGAACCAGGGCCTCATAGCAAATATCAAAGAAATCAGAATAAAAAAGTTAAACAAGTGCACATGATACTGAAATGATAAGATGATAGTGATTACTACAAACAAGTGGTAATAAGGTGAGATAAATAGTGAGAGGGGAGTAAACAGTGTGCCTTGTTAAATACATGGTGACAGTGCCACCTTCAGGACACTTTCATACCCAAAGAACTGAGGAACCTACAAACTCCCTCTCGAATTAATTACTTGACACTCGAATGTGTCATCATCTGGAGTCATGGTTAAACTATTTAGTTTTTTCTCAAATTATTTGTCTATTTTATCTGGTTGATGTATGTATGTGTGTTTCATTTTATGGTTCATGTGTTTTTGTTTGTCTTTATATTGCTTCACTAATCATTAGTATTTTCATGTGCCTTCCATGTGCTACGTGCCTTTATGCATGCAGTTAAGTCAATAATTTATTATGTGTGTGTGTGCGTGTGTACACATGTTTTTTTTGTACTTGTCTCTAGGCAAAGTTACCTTTATTGTAAATTCTTCCTTATGTACAGGGCATGAAATATTGTCGCTCTTTAATCTGCAGCTTCAACATATAAGTAGACATTTAAGCAATCAACATATAACTAACAATCTCAACATACAGTATAAGTACACAACATGTTAAGTACTCAAAGTGACACGAGTACACAACATAGCATGCAATCAAAAGGCACAGGATAGATAGGAGTAGTGTGTGAGTATGAGCATGTTATTTGTGTTGCTTATTTACCTTCATGGCTAAATCTGGCACATTAACATTCTAGATTTAAGTTCACATGTTAATTAAGGTGTATTATCCCTTCAAATAAAAATAAACACAGTGATCTTTCCTGATATTATTTGCTATTAACACCTCATTATTATTTGGTTTATTATTGGAGAAACTATATGCCTGGATGTTAAAATTTTAAAATGTAACATCTGCTCATTCCCCACATCTGAATTGTATTTAAGTTGGGTGACTACTTAGTGTCCCAGTCTTCACAGAACCAAATCATCTCCCCCTCTGACCGACCACTGAATGTTTGGTATTCCTCAACAGTGGCCACAAGAT